GGCATCCACCTGGCAGTGCCCTCTGGCCATCACATCCCCAAAAGCTGCTCCCACAGGTCCATCTCTGGCAGTGTGATGAACAAGGTCTCTGTGCATCGGTCTCCCAAGGGAGCTCCCTGTGGGCCCCGGTGGGGGGTTGGCTCCGTCCTCGCCACAGGCCCCTCAGGGCACAGCTTGGCCCCCTCCCGGGCCTTGGTGTCGCTGGTGGGGGGCTGGAGGCACCTACCAGCTCTGCCCCCGAGGACCACCGGTGCACCAAGCTTGCTTGAGAATCGTCCCCAGACGGCCAAGACAGGTCCCATTGTGGCTCGGAGCACCCAACAGGTTGACAGAGCGGCCCGCAGCAGCGGAGAGGGGCCAGGAACAGCTCAGGGCCCACGCCTGGTCTTGGAGCTCAGCTAGAGACAGTGCCAGGTGGTGGGTAGAGCGGGCACCAGCAGCCTGGACACCTGGGTTCTATTTTGGGCTCGGGAAGAGGAGTGGGGGTCTAGTGGTTCAAGCAGGGGAGCTGCAATCCAGGACTCCTGGGTTCTATCCCTGATTCTGGGAGCGTAGTGGGTCTAGTGGTTAGAGCGGGGGGAGTTGGGAGCCAGGACTCCTGGGTTCTGTCCCCGAGTGTGGGAGGGGAGTGGGGTCTAGTGGTTAGAGCCGGGGTGGGGGGGGCTGGGAGCACGAGGAGAGATGTCTCCTCCACAGGGTGCTGGCAGCCAGTGCCGCCTCTGCCCTGGGCCTGAAATGGGTGGCCAGTGCCAACCCCAGCGCTGTGCCTGGCCCCTGGCTGTGCCAGCAGCCCCTAATGGATGCTCCACTGCTCCATGGGTACCAATCCCCCTCCACCCCGGGCGCTCCCACGTACCTGCTGCACCAGCCTCTGCCCGCACGGCCCTCTCTGGGCTCGCACACCTCCCCGGCTGGGCAGAGGAGCTGCCAGGGCAGATTGAAACCTCCCTGGGTGCCCAGCTGGGGAGTGAAGGTTCCCCCACCTGGGTTTCACTTTCCATTCCTCCCCAGTGCTGGTGAGTTTCATTCTCGTGGGTGGGGCGGGGAGGCCTTGGCCCCGGCTCTGGGAGAAGCCACACATCTGAGGTGGAGCTGGAGAGGCCAGGGGCTCTGGGAAGCCAAGTGGAGGGATCACCCGCCGGGCTGGGCACATCCAGAGCAAATCTGGACAATGGGCCAAAGGGTGTAGCTGAAATCTGTCTGCAGAGCGACTCACAAACACCAGCCAGATCTCCTTGTGCCCAGGACTGAATGCTGATCTCAGGCCTCCGGGGTCAAGCCAGAGTTACTCCCGACAGCAGTGGGACAGGGCTGGATTCTGCTCCCAGCCCCATGGCCTCAATCCGGAGTCACGCCCTGCCTGCAATGGGGTCACTCCATTGGAGGCAATGGAGCCAGGTGCCCAGGTGGTGGATTGTGGCCAGTGCAGCATTTCAGCCAATAGGGTGATGCTGGTTTGTACCAGCAGCTGGCCAGCCACGCATGCCGGGGGTGTTTGGGGGGGCATGCGCGCTGGAGCAGGGGATGGAGAAGGAAGCTGGGGAAGTCAGCTGGGCAGTTGCAGGTGGATGGATGTGCCAGAGTTGGGCCGGATTTATTGCCCACAACCTGCGGGGGTGGGGGGGGAGGTGGGAGTCATCCTATCCCTGTGCAGTGTTATATGTGGCTGTTCCCCAGGTGCCCCATCCCAGAGCTGGCTGCATCTCAGGGGCAGGTGTTCCATCTTCTCTCCTGGGCTACATTTGCCATACCCACCACCCTCCACACCCAGCAGGCAGGGCCCAAGGGGGGAGCTATCAGCCAGGCTCAGAGGGGGAATTTTGGGCCATTGGTGTCACTCGGATCAGGGGCAGTCCTCTGGCACTGCCCCCTCCTGGTATTATGTGTGGACCCCAGCAGCTGGACCCCAATACCCCATAGGCCATCAGCCAGTGCCAGGGATCCATGTGGTATTACTCTAATGCAGGAGAGGAGAGCCCGTAGGTTTTAGGGGGAAATCAGTCTGTGTGACTGTGGAACTCACTGCTACTCGTGTCTGGGATGGTGGAGGGGCAGGGTGCAGACCGTGTGTGGAAAGGGGCTTCGCTGAGCAGGAATCACAGCCCACCAAGCCACCCTGAGTCCCCTGCGCTGTCCCCTTGCTTGGGATTCCTGTGTGAGGGTGGTTCACCCCATGCTGAAATGCAGCTAGCTCTGGGGTGGGGCAGCTGGGGAACAGCTGCACATAACACCACACAGAGATTCCCAAGGTTGGGAATTGAAAGAGATGGTCTGGCTGGGCTCTGCCCACTAATTCACCTCCCCCTCCCGGCCAGCGGTCACATGGGGCATTTCAATTGCTTCCCAAAAGCTCTTTGAGCCCTGTCTGAACTGCCCGCTGGGTGCAGCTTACATCTCCCCGGAATAAATATTCACCAAGATCCCCGGGCAGATCTCCACCCAGGGGCAGGTTTCAACTTGCAACCTCCGTGCCATGGTCCCCACCATGCCAGGAGCAATGCCCAGGTTTCCTCCTCAACTCCCAGCCCAGCAATGCTGGGAAAAGCTTGGGAATGTAAGAGAAGCTGGTTTTGGGGGGTGGGGCTGCAGTTCAGGCACCACCTGGGCAAATGGCCCCAATTGGGTTCATGCACCAGACCCAGTGCCCCCAAGATATGCGCCAAGGTTCCAGGCAATGGGGATTCGAAAGCTGCTCTGAAGCGGATCTGGCACCTGCCCCAGCCCCACAGGCAGAGATCTGGCTGGGTAGCCAACAACCCCTCCCTCCAGGGACCCCTACAGCTCAGCCCACAGGGAGGCAGATTGGGTCTCAGTCCGGCTGCCCTGGTCCCCAGGCTCAGCACCCCTCAGGCCCAGCACCGCCTTGGGTCCTGGATTCGGCCCGGAGCACAGCTCTGGTTTCAGCGAAGCTGGTTTAGCAGGAGGCGCCAGTCTCCTGCGCCCATGGCTTGTCCAGCGCCAGTCCCTATGGGGGGAGGGAATTAGGTGGCTCAGTGACCCAGGGATGCCCTGAGTGGCTAGTACTCTCCCTGCCCCCAGGGATGGGCAACCCCCCGGCCCCGCTGCTACATAACCTGTGTCCCAGGCTCCTCTGCACTTCGTCCCCAAAATCCACTCTAGGCTTTGGGATCCAATGGAAGTTGAGGCTGGGCACCAAGACTCCTGGGTTCTATGCCAACTCTGGGAGGGGAGTGGGGTCTAGTGGTTAGAGCGGGGGGGGGGGCAGGAGCCAGGACTCCTGGGTTCTATCCTGGCTCAGGGAGGAGAGTGAGGTGCAGTGGCTAGAGTGGGGGGCTGGGTGAATTGGCATCTCCCTTCCAGCCCCTGTGCCGTGACTGAATTCCACCCCGAACCTGCAATGTGAAGAGGGGTGTCCTGGAAAGACACACCCTAACCCTAATAGGAAAGTGGCCAAGAACTATCACTCCCAGCATCCCTGCTGTTGGTGGACTACTCCTCCCAGCATGCCGTGGATGGGCTAGGCTGGCCATTAACCCTTTGTTCATCGCAGCCCAGAGGGGAATGGGTTGGACTATGGGAAGAACTGTGAGTAGCGACTTTCCTGCACTGCTGTCATCTCCGTGCACACACACCAGGCTCTCTGTAATCTGCATCTACACGTAGTTCAGGCTGCTTGGCAGCACATTGTCCCTTTGCAGAATGCTGAAGCATGCCAAACGAAACCTAGCCAAAGCAGGAAATGCACCATTAAGGGTGCCTGTGTCACCTTAACTCTGCCCTCATTCTGTGACTCCCCATGAACACAGGTAGTGTAGTGCTCCGCCATGAGCCCCGTGGTGGCTGAGATGCACAAAGCTTTTCCCCTCCTTTCCCAGCCCCCTTGTGCCCTCAGGCGTCCTGGAACATGGTGAAGAGACCAAAAGCTTGCCCACCCCACCCTCCTTCCAGCCCCCTGGAGCAGGCTGTAGCAACGGGGGTTATGTGGCCGCAGTCCAGGCGGTGGGCAGCCTCACGCTAGCAGGTGGCAGCAGTTGTCGGTGAGATGAGGATGGTAAATTGCTGGAAAACCCAGCCTAGCATGGGGACTTCAGGGCCCTTCAACGGGCAGGCTGGGAGGAAAGGGCACTGGGGGAGGGGCCAGAAAGGGGTGAAGGGGGCCCCAAATCCCCGCACACACAGGTCGGGGGGCAGGGAGAGGGGCTCCGTCCCACCTAGGGGCTGGACCCCTCAGATCTGGGAGCACACACAGGAGCGGAGAGCAAGTGGGACTGACAGTTGCCCCTGCTCTTGTTCTCCCCAGTGTCCCCCCCACACACCTCCAACCCCACCTCTCTCCCCTCCCCTGCCACCCAACCCCATTTATCTCCCTCCCCATAGCCCCCCTCTCCTCACTGCAGCCACAAATCCCTCTCCTCCTGTTCCCCACCCCCTGCTCCCAATGCCCCTCCCCTCCCAGGATCCACTCACAGGGAGATTTTCCCCCAAATACTTTGGGGAGTGCGGGAAGGGGGATGTTGGGGTACAGTGGCAGAGCTGGGGATACAGGGGTGGGGGTCCATGAGAAGAGCTGGGGTGCACTTGCAGGGCTGGGATACAGAGTGGCTGGGGGTGCAGGGGCTGAGCTGTGAAGTAGGCTGGGGTGTAGCCAGGGGCAGGTCTGGGGGTGCATGGGGAGCGATGGGGGTACAGCGTCTGGGGGTGCACAGAGAGAGCTGGGGTGAAGAGGGACTGGATGCGCTGGTAGGATTGGGATACAGAGGGGCTGGGATGCAGGGGCAGAGATGTGGGTGCAGGGTCTGGGGTTACCTGGGGATAGCTGTGGTGTACTGGCAGGGCTGCGATACTGAGGGGCTGGAGTGCACAGCAGAGCTGGGGGTATGGGATGGGGGGTGCACAGTTGGGGTGCACGGGGAGCTGGGGATACAGGGTTTGAGGGTGCACAGGGAGAGCTGGGGTGCACTGGCAGGTCTAGGGGTACAGGGCCATACACCCTCCCAGCACAGGGGCGGGGAGGCCCCGCGGTGCATGCCGGGAGCTGCAGGCCCGCGCGGGGCATGCCGGGAGTAGTAGTCCAGCCCGGGGACACTGGCTCTGAGCGGTGTCTGGGCGGAGCGCGGCGCCCCCTGCGGTAAGAGCTGAGCCGGGCCAGCGCTGTGGGGGCGGGGGCCGCTTCGGCTGCTGGGCTCGGAACCCAAGAGTCCGGCCCCCTCCCCCTCCAGCCACCAGACCCCGGGCTGGGCTCGGAACCCAAGAGTCCGGCCCCCTCCAGCCACCAGACCCCGGGCTGGGCTCGGAACCCAAGAGTCCGGCCCCCTCCCCCGCCAGCCACCAGACCCCGGGCTGGGCTCGGAACCCAAGAGTCCGGCCCCCTCCCCCGCCAGCCACCAGACCCCGGCTGGGCTCGGAACCCAGGAGTCCGGCCCCCTCCCCCGCCAGCCACCAGACCCCGGGCTGGGCTCGGAACCCAGGAGTCCGGCCCCCTCCCCCGCCAGCCACTAGACCCCCCTCCCCGGGCTGGGCGCAAAACACAGGAGGCTGAGCTCCCAGCCCCACAACGCCCCAAGCTACTAGTCCCCACTCCCCCCCACCCTTCCAGAGCTGGGATAGAACCCAGGAGTCCGGACTGCCAACTGGCCCACTCTACACCTAACTCCCCACCCCCGAGTGGCGACAGGCCGGCCTGGTGTGCTGTCCATCTCCCTGATGTTTCTCCTCCCGCAGGTGCTGGGACGTGGAGCAGGATGGCCCAGGGGACCCCTCCTGTGATGTTGACCCCAGCTGGGCTCGCGTCCCTGCGGCGGGGTGGAGCCAGTGCTCCCCAGCAGGAGGGGGACAGCGGGCACCAGGCTAGTGGAGACGTAGGGCCGGATGTGTGGCGGGAAGAGGCGCATGGAGACACGGGGACGCTCTCAGATCTGGGCAGCCGAAGGAAGGGGGACCACGGGAGCCAGGCCGTGGGGGAGGGGGAGCAGACCAGGGCCAGGGGACAGGCTGTCCCGGCGCGCCCCCGGCGTTACGGGTGCAGCGTGTGCGGCAAGGCCTTCTCGCAAAGTTCCACGCTGATCGTGCATCGGCGCTCGCACTCGGGCGAGCGCCCCTACGCCTGCGAGGAGTGTGGCCGGGCCTTCGCCCAGAGCTCGGGCCTGGCCAAGCACCGGCGGGTGCACACGGGCGAGCGCCCCCATCCCTGCCCCGAGTGTGGCCGGCGCTTTGGCAAACGCTCCAACCTGGCAGTGCACCGGCGGGCCCACACCGGTGAGCGCCCCTTCCCCTGCCCCTCCTGCCCCAAGGCCTTCGCCCGGCGCGCCGACCTGGCTGTGCATGGCCGCACCCACACCGGGGAGCGGCCCTACCGCTGCGCCGACTGCGGCAAGGGCTTCAGCACCGGCTCCAACCTGGCGCAGCACCGGCGCACGCACCAGCCTGATCGGCCTTACCGCTGTGCCCAGTGTGGGAAGGGCTTCCCTGGCAGCTCGGAGCTGCTGCGCCACTGGCGCTCCCACACCGGGGAGCGGCCTTACCGCTGCGGCGTCTGCGGCCTGGCCTTCGCCCACAGCACAGTGCACCGGCGCCACCAGCGGGCCCACCTGGAGGAGTCACCCTACCGCTGCGGAGACTGCGGGCGCAGCTTCGCCCAGCGCTCCGACCTGGTGGTGCACAGCCGCACACACACCGGCGAGCGGCCCTACCGCTGCCCCGACTGCCCCAAGGCCTTTGCCCAGAGCTCCCACCTGGCCACCCACCGGCGCAGCCACACCGGCGAGCGCCCCTACCGCTGCCCCGACTGCCCCAAGGCCTTTGCCCAGAGCTCGGCCCTCACTGTGCACCGGCGCACCCACACCGGCGAACAGCCCTATGCCTGCGCCGAATGCGGCCGACGCTTCCACCGCAGCTCCAATCTTATCCGTCACCAGCGCACCCATACGGCCGAGCGCCCCTTCGCCTGCCCGCAGTGCGGCCGACGCTTCCACCGTCGCTCCAACATGGTGGTGCACCAGCGCACCCACGCCCGGGCCAAGGGGTGCTGCCCGCCGGCCACCGGGGATGCTGCCCGCTGGGGGTCCTTGGAGACAGAGAGCCCTAGCCCTGTGCCCTCTGCCACGGGGACTACATAGCCCTGTCCTGGCCCTAGAGCTATGCTTGGACGCTGTGCTCTCCTCAGCCCGTGCCGGGCACAGCGCCCCCAAAAGGCCCTCAGTGAGGCGGGGCAGGCAGAAGGCTGGCACCAGCCTGGCAGGGAGAGTGCTCGGCACGGCCCCTTTGACCAGCCACGAGGCCCAGCTGCAGTAGCAGCAGTGAGACAAAGTCGGCCGGGAGCTCAGGGGCCGTGTTTGCACCTCGAGAGCAATTAGCCGGGGAACTGCCCCCTCCATTGCTGGGTGCCGTTACAGCCAGACTGTGCTGGGAGCCAGGCGCTAGCTCCACCACCAGATAGGTGGTGGCCTCTGGGATCTTTGCCAGCTCCCGGCTCTGGAGTTCAGGGCCCAGCTACCGCCAGGACGGGGACGAGGATGGGCTGTGGGCTGCAGGCTGCATGTGGGGAGGAGGAGAAGCTGGGGCTGGGTTCAGATGGGCAGATGCTTCTGTTTTGAAATAAAGCATTTGTACCCTTTTGTGAGACAATCCCTGTTTCCTCAGGGGCCGGGAGCTTGGACCCAGGGGCCTTCGTCCCACTGGGAAGCCACCCTCCCCAATGGTATGTGGAATCCTACCCACACCTGGGTCACACCCAGCCTTAGAGCTCATGGGTGGGGAGGAGGGGCAGGACACATGGTCCCAGCATGCACTGTGAGCGTAATGCTCTCCCCTGGTCTGGAGCACCCAGGTGAGAGGAGGGCAAGCTGAAAATCTGGGGGGAGACGAAGAAAATAATCTGCATGGGGGGAGGAGCAGAAGGGCCCATAGTTGGGACAGTGGGGGGCTGGTCTGTAGTGGCTTTATGGGCCAGCCTGAAATAGGCTGGATTAGCGAAACTGCCCGAGTCCTGGTCTGGATGAGTTATAATAACCAGACTGGGGCCATCTATACAGGATCTTGGGGAGGGTTCCAGTGATCTGAACTGGGCTACGAGTCCCTGTGGTCCATATGGGACTATATTGGCCCAGGCAGGGGGCTTCATAGATTCCAAGGCCATAAGGGACCATTGTGATCTTCTTGACTGACCTAGTATCTCACAGGCCAGAGAACAGTCCCAAACAATTCCTGAAGCGGGTGTTTTGGGGAAACATCTGAGCAAGATTTAGAAATTGTCAGCGATGGCGAATCCACCCGGTTCCTGGGACATTGTTCCTGTGGTTAATTACTCTCCTCATTAAAAAGCTATGCCTGATCGCATGGACCAGATTGGATTGGGATATATGGCCTGGCATGTGTCTGTAGTGGGTGAGATGGCTTTATTCTGTAAGAGCCCACAAAGGGGTGCTGGTCAATATGGGATTATAAGGCCTGGGTGGAGGGAGGTCAGATGTAAAAGGGTTTGGAGGAGAATGTTCTGAATTGGGTTGTGAAACCATATAAGGGGTTGACGGAAGGGTCGTATACAATTACCTCCTGGTCTGTACTGGAATATATGGCCTGGGGTAGAGCAATCCCAACTGACAAAGCTGTATTGCCCTGATGTAATTATCTGTTGCATCCAAAGGGGGAATACGTGAAGGTCGCAAGGTCAATTGCTGAAAACATAGCCAGCGGCTCGATGCGGGCTGTATCACCCTACAGCCCTAAGAACAGGGTTGCGTGGTGTCCAGCACCCGGGCCCTGCCTTTTTTGGTTGCATGGAATAAGCAGCAGGTCAATATCTTGGGTCAATATCAGTCGGTGGGCAGCTCTGGGCCCTATTCACAGATCCGGATCTCACAGTAGTATCTGAGCCCATCACAACTGTCAGTGACTTTATCTTCCCCATGGCTCTGGGGGAATGGCAGGGGGGTTTATCCCATCTGACAGCTGGTTTGCATGAGTTTGTGGGGAGACTGCAGGGCCCATACAGGTCTATATGACCTATGGCAGGCAGCAAGGAGGGTGCAAGGCACATACAGGGTGGCTGTACAGAGGGTTCAGGATCCATACAGCGTTGTCCACCTGAGGGGAAGCAGGCTGAGCGGGGTTGGGGACCCCCTCAGGCCCATCGCACTGAACCACTGGCTGTTGGGAGGTTGCGGGGCCCATATAGCTCTGTATGGCCTTGGAGACGGGCGTATGAATTGGTCACCTTCTGAGCGGCAGCCCCTGCAGAGTTAGGGGCTATATAACGCTCCCTGATATATGAGTTTACAGGAGACGGTGAACGAGTGGAGCAACTTTCGGCATGAGCCATGGCGTATGCAAATCGCACCCCTTCCACGTCTGCACAGAAGAAGGGTCTAAGGGGGAGCGCGAACTCCCAGCATGCACCACCCCCGCTATGCAAATGACCGGGCTCCGCCCGCCGTTGAGTGTCGCCGATCGGGTGAGCTAGGTGTGTGTCTCCCATAATGCATTGCGCGCCAACCCGCCCGACTGCTTAGGGGGCGGGGCTCGGGCCCCTCCACGCCAGCGACCGCAGGGGCAGGGGACGGGGCTAATGCAAATGAGCGATATGCAAATGAGGGTGGGCTGCGCGAGAGTTCGGTTACCGGAACGTTCCCTGGAGCGCGCGCGCGGGTGGGAGCCGCCGCCGCCGCCGCCGCCGCCGCCGCCAGGTGGGGGGGAGGGGAACCCTAAGGGGGTGCAATGGGGCGGGTGAGCATTGGGGGAAGGGTGCAGGGAGAGGTTGCGGTGCAAGGGGGTGGGTTTGCAGTGAGGGAGGGGTGCAGAGGGACCTTACGGGGTGCCATGGAGCTGGGGTTGGAGTGGGGGAGGGTTGAGGGGGAATGCAGGGCGGCCCTAGGGGGTGCAACAGGGCTGGGGTTGCAGTGGCGGCCTGGGGGCATGCCGTGGGGGAGGGGGTGCTCTGGGAGTCGGGGGGTGGGGTGTTCTGGGCGCAGGGAGTAAGGGTCCTGGGCAGATTGCACGGAGGGTTAGGATATTGCGGAAAAGGACCTAGGGGTGACAGTGGACGAGAAGCTGGATATGAGTCAGCAGTGTGCCCTTGTTGCCAAGAAGGCCAATGGCATTTTGGGATGTATAAGTAGGGGCATAGCGAGCAGATCGAGGGAGGTGATCGTTCCCCTCTATTCGACATTGGTGAGGCCTCATCTGGAGTACTGTGTCCAGTTTTGGGCCCCACACTACAAGAAGGATGTGGATAAATTGGAGAGAGTCCAGCGAAGGGCAACACAAAATGATCAGGGGTCTGGAACACATGAGTTATGAGGAGAGGCTGAGGGAGCTGGGATTGTTTAGCCTGCAGAAGAGAAGAATGAGGGGGGATTTGATAGCTGCTTTCAACTACCTGAAAGGGGGTTCCAAAGAGGATGGCTCTAGACTGTTCTCAATGGTAGCAGATGACAGAACGAGGAGTAATGGTCTCAAGTTGCAGTGGGGGAGGTTTAGATTGGATATTAGGAAAAACTTTTTCACTAAGAGGGTGGTGAAACACTGGAATGCGTTACCTAGGGAGGTGGTAGAATCTCCTTCCTTAGAGGTTTTTAAGGTCAGGCTTGACAAAGCTCTGGCTGGGATGATTTAACTGGGAATTGGTCCTGCTTCGAGCAGGGGGTTGGACTAGATGACCTTCTGGGGTCCCTTCCAACCCTGATATTCTATGATTCTATGATTGCATTGGGGGTGGGGGACGCAGTGGGGTCCGGAGCTATTGCAGAGTTGCAGCAGGGGAGGGAACTGGTTCATGGATCGCTCCGTAGATTATGATGGTCCATATAGGGCTGTGTGATTGGCCAGGGGACGGGAGGGGACATGCTCATTCATACAGGGCTGGGTTTTGCTGGTATATACAGGGCTGTGTGGATCTCCATAGGCTGGTCTGTATAGGGTTAAATGGGGGGGGGCGCTGATCCACACAAAGCTGTATGGATTGCCGTAGCCTGGTCAATATAGGGTTATATTGCCGGAGGGGTGGGTAAGAGACTCTGTGGATTGCAGTACAATGGCCCATCTGGGGCTCTAGGACCTGGGGGTGGGGGTTGTGCTGGTACATACAGGGCTATATGGATTTCGATAGGATGGTCTGTACAGGGCTATATGGCCTGGAAGGGGGGGTGGTCCACACATGGCTGTATGGATGGCAGTAGAATGGTCTGTATGGGGCTATATGACCTGGGATGTGTTTGTGCTGGTCCATACAGGCTGTATGGATTTCGGTAGGATAGTCTGTATAGGGCTATATGGCCTGGAGCGGTGCTGGTCCATACAGGGCTGTATGGATTGCAGTAGAATGGTCCATATGGGGCTATATGGCTTGGGGATCACAGTCTGTGGATCCCTGCCTCCCTTCTCTCTGCTCACCAGCCCCCTTGTCACTCCCAGGATGAGCCGGAAGCGGAGGGCAGCCGAGGCAGGAGACGTGGGCCTGGCACTGGAGCTGCGCTGGGAGTGGCAGGACCCTGGCGGCACCTGGCATTGCTTCGTGCCTGAGCAGAGCGAGGTACTGACACAGGCGGCCAGGTGAGTACCCTGGCGGGGGCATGTCATGACCTGGGCTGTGGTGGGGGAGTCACAGGCCCTGAGCTGCTTCCATCTCCCCCCAGGGCAGGGAAGCCCAGCGTGACTGTGGGCTCCTGTGTGGACCTGCGGCGGATGGTGCAGCAGAACGGACAGACGGGGCAGGACAGATGCGTGGCAGCAGCCATCCAGGACCAGGACTCCTGTGAGTGCCCAGGGACCCCTGGTGGGGGGAGCGGTGTTGTCCCGGACGCCTGGGTCCCATGCCCTGTCCTGATCACTCCCCTGAGTTATGGGGCCCCCTAGGGGTGAACACCCTGCTCTGCTATCCAGGACACCTGGGTCCCATGCCCAGTCACGGTCACTGCCCCAGATGCTGGGAGCTGGGGGGCCCCCCGGGGTGAACACCCTGCACAGCCACCTAGACACCTGGGTTCAATGCCCCGTCACAGTCACTGCCCCAGAGGTTGGGAGCTGCAGGGCCCCCTAGGGGTTAGTTCCAGCAGGGAGCTAACAGGGTGCCCGCGGCCCAGATTTCGTGTGGTGCTGGCAGGGGGACAAAGAGGGGCAGTGGCTGCCCTACCCTGCCGACACCTGCCTGGCGCTGGAGGGTGTGCGGCGTGGCAACGGGGGGCCCAGCCTAGAGGTGACGTTCAGCCGGACTCGCTACACATTGGACACGGCCCAGATGACCCAGACCAACGTCAGAACCGGATACCAGCGCCGGATGGAACGGAGGGAGTCAGGTACGAAGGAAGCCAGGACTCCTGGGTTCTCTCCCTGGTTCTGGGAGGTGAGTGGGGCCTAGTGGGTAGAGTGGGCTCTGTGGGAAGCTGGGGGAAGGGGTTCAGGCTCCCAGGGCCCAGTTCCGGTTGGTGAGCAGGTCTCAGGTACCCGGAGTGGGGCGGGCCTCGCTATCAGAGCGTAAGCTCGTTAGTCGTTAATCATCCCCCAGGGAGCTGGCCGGAGAATCTGATGCTAGGCATAGCTGGGTCATAGCAACGACGCCCAGGGTGGCTCGCCTGGCACTGAGATGCGGCCAGCTCTGGGGTGTGGCACCCTCCCCTCCCCC